AAAATTAATGAAATAAATCATGGTCAGCATAGTGACTGGCAACATTATTTTAAAAAGTAGCCATTATTACTATTACTTAGTAACAGGCATGTGATCATTATTCTCATATGTTATACAGGCAATCGAAGTCCTAAAAATTATTTTGTTCATTCTTTCATGGCTTTTGCTAAACAATTATTTATAAGAGGCTAATTCTATGGCTACAAGCTCTGCAAATGTCATTTAGAAAACTCCTTTACTAACAATGTTCCATCATCTTCCAGAAACTAAATCATGTGTAGAATGTAAATAATGAAATTAGGTTACCATTCTTCTGTGGACAACAGGGTATTTAACCACAAATATACAAATAAAGCCTCAAACTATAATTTGATACACATTCACTATAGTTTACACATTTCTTATAAATATGATGTTTTTAAAATACTCTAATTGGATATAACTGTATTTTACTAAATTAAAATTACAGTAAAAAAATAATTTCAGAGAATTTGTTAGTGTTCTAAGCTTTGCAGAAATGATAAAACAACTTTAAAAGAACTTCTGTTAATACAGATTTGTATAATTGAATAACCTATGCCCTAAAATATGTAATAGACAACTAAATACATCTTAAAATGCAGAAAATTTAGCCACCTAATTCAAGATCATATCTCTTATCACCTTGGAAATCTGATATATCAATTCAAAATTACTATTTAAATTACCATCAGAATTCCTGAAGGAATTTGTAGGGAAGATTCCAATTGCATCTGGTTTTATGTCACTTAAAGGCAAATTCATCTGCCTTAAGACCAATGTAAGCTTCTTACATTTGAATCTAAATTTTCAATAGCAAAAACTCAGTTAGAGCTTGCTCTTCTGCTAGCCCACACCTTGTTTGCCCTTCCGCACTCCTCACCTCCAGACAACCGAAAATAAAGACTCAAACCAGTAATATATAACCTGACTAATCGTAGGCTCCCAAAGACTTAAGACAACCAAAAACAAAAACAAAAACAAAAACCAAAGATGGAAAGAATCATTGCTTTGCAAACAAGGCCTTAATTGGATCCGTAAATAAAAATCCTTTTACTGCTCCAGCCCTGAGTCCCTCTGAAGGAAGATTTCCCAACGAGTTCTCACACACAACACCAACACCAGCACAGACCCTCTCCCAAACTGAGGCCCAAACATGTACCCACACAGTGGAAATCCTCTCAGGATGCTTTAACAGTTATCTAAAAAAAGCATTACCACCAAAAGGCCCATGTCTTTAAAATACTTTATCAATCTCTCTAATGAGAAATTTCTATTCCATCCTGTCCTGGAAGACTAACTGCCCAAAAGACAGGGGAAAGCAGTTAAAAGAAAAACCACAGTTGGTTTTCATAACCATCCTTTGTCTCCTCCAGGTCAAACCTGAGTTAATATTAAAAGACTCATTAATTTACTTGGAAACATACCACTTTTTACAGTGCTTTTCTGAATGCAAGTCAAGCATTCATTTATGCTATTTTATATTTGTACCTACTCATGTTCTATAATTCAAAGATTTAAAAACTGGGTGAAACCAACAGTTAACTGCAACGATAACAATTCAGAGAGGCCAGAATCAAACGTAACAGTATGAAGAGCTGAAACTTTTGAAATACGAAACATTCAAACAACTATTCGAATTGAAGAACATCTCAGCTAGGAAATGAAAAAGCACAATATCTGAGGCTGGAGCTCAGTGTCTCTCTGTCTTTATCCCTTAGATGAACCATGAAAATAGGCACTAGCCTGTGAGGACAGAACCTACAAACATTGAGTCTTATGATAATTTGGCAGCAGACTTAAGAAGAAACTTAATATTCTCTGCCTCTCCATTCCATTCCCTTCTTGTTTGTTCTTCAGATGAAGTTATGGTTTTTGATACAAGAGATTTTCGTGTTTTCTTAGCCTTATTATAGGGACAAGTGGTGGCAGGAAGTAAAAAAATGGCCCTGAGTGAGAGAAGACAATCAATACAAATGTGGGCAGAGCCAACAACTGTGTAAACTCAGTGGAAGTTTTGTTGACCTGATTAAGGAGACCAGCTTCAGTTGGGCTGCAGGGGAGCCGCTTAAATATAAATCACAGCCCAGAGGGCTAGAAATATTTATTAGGGAGTTAGGGAGAGGAGATTGATATTCTAAATGCTCTTTGAAATTGTAATGAATTTCTTGTTTTTCATTTTTCTGGTTTGTTCATAAATACTGCTGGTTTTAAAATAAAATTTTCAAAGGAGGAATCAGAAAATCTATAATGATTATATCCCAGGGAGGCTTGCCAGACCTTATGACTTCACTAATTTTAAACTTAACTCCTCTAGTGGTGACTGAGAGGAATGAAGCCAACACATTATGGAACATGTAAGTAGCATGATAAATTGATTCACAAACTTAATAATAACCCAGAACTTTCTAATACTGTTTGCATCTAAATGGGCATGTAACATGGATCGTGAAGAAAGCTTAAGTCTATATTGTCAAACTACATACTAAAATAAAACTGAATATCCCAGTAGGTTGACTAAAATTCCATTTATTTTTTTGGACAACTTATACTGACAACTTCTAACTTCGCTTTCCAACTACTGCAACCCCTACAAGTTGACCCCTGAGAAATGCCCGAGAACAGAATAAGAAGAGTAACCGGGTATTTATCTGAAACTGGTCTAAAAAAGTTCATTTCTAAGACATAGGATAATGAAGTGTTTTTTTTTTTAGGATAATTTCCCAGTATTTCCAAAATTAATGGCTCGGCAGATCACACAATTATGTAATATATTTTTATTATTTGGAACTTATTTTAGTTGTGCAAAAAATATTCCTGAATATGAATATGATATCAGCTATTAAATGTAAATACTCAGAAGTATATCACCACTCCACACACCCTTGAAAAACAAACCACACATCATTCACGCAAAGCCATCCAAGGGGGAAGTGCCCAACACACGCTCACTGTCAATACTGTGTGCTTCCTATTCTGTTGGAGACGATCTGCAAGTAAATGATGACAAAGTGAAATATCTTACCCTTACTTCATTTCGTCACCTATGAGAACATTAACTATGATTTCAAAATTAATCCTACCAATATGTCGGTATATTCTATTAAGCAAAATCATTTAACATATTTGGTCTCCTTTACATTTAAGTTGCTGTAAGTGATTATCTTACTGGAACTTTCCAGGGATGAGAACAACTGTTACATGCCTGCCCCCTCTGGCGCCCGCCAGTGGCTGCCCGCTCGCCAGTGGCTGCCCGCTCGGGGATGCTGACGGGCCCCGGCCGCCCAGGGGCCTCTGAGAGACTGCGTACGCCCCAGTCTGCACCAGGCACGAGCCATCCTTCCACCTGAACCTGAATTCCAATGCGAGAAAAAGGACTGCCTGCTTTTTTATTGGCTCTATAAAATCTACTTAAATCCTAGACTGTTTTCCTTTAAATAATATAAATTTCTTTTTGATCACCTATTCAAATGGGCAGAAAAGAGTTTCAGATGGAAAGTCGCCTTTATTCAGAGATTTTTTTTTAAAGATCAGCAGAGTTTCTACCCTTGACAGTGGCCATCTTTCATCAACACTGGTCATGAAATTATTTACTTAAACAGAAAATACAGGCTACAAGGGTAGGCAAAAGTAGGTTTACAGTTGTAAGTACAAGAAAAAGAGTTTATTCTTGTATTATTATTTATTATTTTCCATACAAACAACTGTAAACCTACTTTTGCCCATTCCTGTATTGACAGGTTAAAAACATCATTGTTGGTATAAAAATTAAGATGTCTCACAAGAAAAAGAGCTGATTTTATATTTTTCTATTATTGTCAATTTCATAACTCTACTAGTTTCAAAAGCCTTCACTAATACATATTGGAATACTGCATCAAACAATTTTATGGCACTTAGCTTTGTTTATTTTTAAGAAATGTGATAAAAGATGACCATGGTGTTTGGAAAATGATGGTAAAGGGTTTTGTTTATGGATGAAATTCTAACATGAATAATTTATTGAACTTCTAGTGAAACTTATGCTAAGTTTATCAAGGTCCAGAGGTTTAACAGAGAACAAATAAGCACAAATATCATCTGTGAAGAAGTAATTTTTCAATAGGCAAAGGTAGAAATAAATACAATGCAACATATAACAGTCTCCCACATGCTAAAGTTTTAAAAATATACACAGTACCTAAACATGAACAACAGCTTACAATACATATACAGTTTTTCTTATATGTTTAAAGTTAGTACCTAAGTGTGAATAACAGTTTACAATACATAGTCTTACTTATATGCTTAGAGTAAGGTATATGTGGATTAAAGTAGGTATTTTTATTTATATAACATACATATAAAATATTAATGTATTATACAAAAATAATTGTAGTAGTACTATTTAAAGTATACTATTTAACCTTAATAAAGCAAATTTTGTGTATCATCCAAATGAGGGTATATATATTTATAAACAAATTTCTTTTTTCTGCTTATTTGTAACTTAATGGCCAAAGCCCCCAAAACACTAGACACACAAATTATTTATTGATATTTAGAAACAATTCAGCCCAATGTTACATTTAAACACATGCAATGGTTGTATTTAATGACAAAAAGGAAAGTAAAATAAAGGAAATAATTCCAAATTTTCATTACTTATAAAGCAAAACAATGCAAATTGATAGTGTGCTAGGGAGAACAGGAGATAAAACAGAAAGGTTATTTAAAAATGTTATGCACACACCATATGTATAATATGCATACATATGCATCTATGCAAAATAAAACCAGGCTCTGTAATGTTATAATGAGCTAATGACATGCAGCTCCTAACTAATGATGATGAGTACTGATTCCTGAGTCAAATTACCCAAAGGGGAAATAGAACAGTAGTTTTGTGGATCTGACAATCAAATTCATAACCACCTAATAACAAAGCATACAGTGATGAAGAAGCAAGGTGCAAAGCAAACAGTGAGAAGGCAGACACTCACCTTCGGTGCCATTGGGAGTCATGGAATTACTATTTATATGAGAGTTATCGAGTTTGGGGCCACTGGGGGATTCACTACTACCACTCAGACGGCTATGCGGGCTGGTGAGATCCTGCATTTCCATAGACCTAGAGACAAGAAGCCTTCCGTTGGACACATGCACCAAGTTCGTGACGCCACCATTTAATGCGTTAACGACTTGACACCTTCTTTGAAACACATTCGCACAAAAGACTCATTGTATCTATGATCTTAGACTGAAAATAGTTCATCTTATGTTTTACCTTCAGTCATCCTTTCATAACATGTAGTCATGAAAGATGTCAGTCACTTGCCTTACCTACCCAGCCAAACACTCACATGGAGCTTTAAAATCTATTTTTTCTCTTATATAGCTCATCAAGTCACAAGCTCTAATGAGACATTACATGTATTTTAATTTAAAAAAATGCAGTCAAGCTTCTTTTACATTAAGAAAACAAAGTATTTTGTAAAAGACAACACAAAGGTATAAACAGGTATGATAGAAATAAAATCACTCTTCAGTGGAATCTGTTTCATCTAATAAATTAGCACTAAGTACTTCCCTATAATTTACCACCCAGGTGTAATTTAATGGGTCTCCAAACCAAATAAAACACTTGAAGCCTATAGTCCAGTGACAGGGAATGAGATAGTTCTGATGCATGTGTTTACTCTGGCACACTGCTTAATTGTTCCTGTTTCCCTTGAAACAAATGCAGCATTAAAACATTATGATGTCGACTCAATTGTTTGCTTTGTGGATTACATACAGCGTGCCCAATTGAAAAGGGATGAGGCCGAGGTACAGGGAGCCCTGTGAGCCTTAGCACCCGAAATACCTCAACTGTCACTCAGGGAAATAGCACTTCCACTCCAGGGCTGGAATTGTGCAGTTTTCCCATATAAAGCCAGTTACGCCTCCACTGAAAGTTCTTAGACTCAGCAGTTAACTTGTTCTATGAAAGGTACAGAAGCCCCTACTCATATTTGCAATTACACAACTATGTGTGTGTATATACATTAAAGGAGAAAGGAGAGGATTTATGTAAAGTGACTAAAAACACACCTAGATGCTGTGTTTTTTTTTTAAGTTTTTGAAAAGCTAAGACCCATTCACTTTATTTTAAATGTATGGGTGTGGTGGGGTGTATCATTTGTATCTATGAAGCTGAGACAGTTTGCTTCTCACCCTCACCAGGTCAATATGTTAGTCATTTTAATTTGGAGGTTGCACTTAAACTGATTGAAAATAGCTTAACCTGAACCATTTTTCTTCTAGAGTGAGTTTTTACTTCTCAAATCTTCTGAATTCAAACTAGAAATTGCTTGAAATTCCATTCTCCTCTCCTGATTCCCTTTACATTCACAGTTTTCCTAACTCCAGAAATTATAGCCCATCCTCATTTTCAAACCCAGGCTCCTATTCCCTTTCTACACACTCAAAATGTTTTACAAGCGCTCACACACACATACAAATTGCTAAGTAATTTCCAACCTAGGCTGTTGCTATTAATAGCAATAATTAAGAAATACTAGACCAAAATAGATATGGGTCATACAGAGGTAATCTCCAAAAATGTCAAATATCAAAAATATCCTTACCTGCAACTTGAGGAAACAGCAACATCTGAACAGGTTTGAGGTGTTTGCACCTGTGATCAGGGGTAAAAAATTAGAAGCTGTTGTTACTCTGCTTCTGTGTCAGCTCTTAATTACACAGAGCACATGGCTAAGAACCACAATGCTCCCTTTTAACCAAAAGAGAAAAAGGAGGATACTGCAGCAGTGAAAGGCATATTGTCTTTAAGTTAAGGTCTCTACTGTTGTTTCCTCCTGCAGGTCTAACCCTCCTCCTCCCCTGGTCAGGGGGGAAGGCGGCCAAATGACTGGATAGTGATTCATCACTGGCCTATGACAGCTGCAAACGGGATTACCCCTCCCCCAATCAACATGCAAAGCAGCCTTGCCCAGGCAGCTTGGAAAAGGTGCTTGGAAAAAAAAATATCTATTAGCAAAATGAGTGTGTTTCACAGCAGTCGTTCAGACCATCATCCTCCAGCATCCTCAGAAGATCTTTCATCTGCTACTATCGCCAGCTGAAACGGAGTTCCCGCCCACCCCTTTGACTCCCAACAGTTTCTTATCCTTATCACCAGAGTTTTCTCCTATATTGACTGGTTGTCATCTCACATTCACTGAAAGAGCTTCTGGGCAACTGCCAGGCCGTGCTGGACTGACTACAAATGGCAAAGGCAAGTTTTCATGCTCCAAGTCCCACCATGGAGCAACATGCTCATTTACCCATGCTGATTTAAAATGCAGCATAAGCTTATTCCTCATTGCCTGGTAAAATAGGAAAAGCACTTTGCTTTGGTTCAGTTTTCCATCTTTTAAACCAGGAAAGACAATGGATCATATAATAATCAATTCAGCATCCCAGGTAGCCAGCACATCAGTGTCATTTGTCTCTAGAAGAATCTGTACTCTGGGACTTCACTGAACAACTAATTTAACAGGTGTGTAGGCTTTGCTAGTCCCTGCCCATCCTCCAGAGGCAGAGCCAACTGCCAGCAGGTGAGAAGCTCAGGTGAAGGTGGGCTGCTGGCTTCACGCTCAGGCTGACACCCCAGCAGTAAAGAGCATTCTGCATAACATTCAAAATGACTTAGAATTCCAAATCTTTGATGTGCATTTTCATTCAACTTGAACTGACATCAATTAGGGGTGCAGAACAGTTGAGAGCCGGAGCATCTCACATGGCATTAAAGTTATCCAGCCGAATATCTACTACTGAGTCCTCCTCTTTTTAAATTATGATTTATGAAAGTAATACTACCTTTTGGGCAAGAATGAAACATCGTTAAATTCTAAATGTCTTGGTATAATGTAATGTGCAATTTCTAGATATGCTTCTCTATAATATGTGCAGGATAAAAAATAATTTTTAAGAGATGCCTAAGCATTAAATGGAAATCTAAGTTTAATACCTATAGATGTCATTTTGTGATAACAGCCTTCTGCAATTTTTGTTAAAATTAACATTCTCACACAAGATGAAATGTTCTCTTAGAAACTGCAGCAATATACCTCAAGGATAAATTTCCCTCCCCCCCCCTTTTTCACTTTTATACACCTGGAATAAATTATAGGTGAGAACTAACTTAGTTTTAAGAACTCTCTTGGCTTAATTATGTGAAAGAGTATGTAAAACATACTTTCTATTTAATGTTAAAAGTGTTAAAATACATCCCTACTTTAACATTAGCTAGATAGTATAATCCTGGAAATGTCATTTTCATTCATTGTATACTTTGGAAATTTTGACTATATTTGAGGTTTAATCTCTCATATTTAAATTTCAAAGTCAAAGTGTTAATTAAAATTAACTTCAACATAAGGATTATTCTAACACATTTTCCTCGCTAAAAAAATGTACTTTCACAACATAATTCTTTTCTGCTGACTTGCCTCAGTCCCCACTCACTTTTTACACACTCCAGTTTTTGCAAGTCCACATCCATGATCTTCGTTTCATTAAGTATACTTCAGATATATTCTTTTGTGTCTCAAGGATTATTTAAACCATGTGTTGTGTGTTACTGTATTTAAAAATGACTCTTTAATCAAAATAACTTTAAAACAACTAATCCTCACTTAGGCTGGTCAGCTGAATCCACATCGTGGTCCAGGAAAAATAAATCTACTCTCAAGAATGCGAATGCAGACAACAATTAGACACAGATGTGAACAAAATTAGTTACAGTTTACAAAATGCTACACTTCACATGCTTTTAGTTTTTTACGTGTAGTACAAGATTACAGTGCAGTAAGGAGACATACTCTCGTATAATGACTTATCTCAAAAGAACACCTATTTCTGATTGGTGTTGATTTTCTCTTATGTATGGCAATATCTCTGGAAGTGTCTGTGTTTTTAAGGTTTAAAACCATAATGTGTTTTAGAAATAATTAGTCATATTTACATTCAAAAGAGAAAAAAATTATTTCACGGTTTTCAGAAAAATGCCGTCAGGCATAAGTAAGCTGACATTTTCCGCTTTACATCCATAAACTTAATATCTCTTGTCTTCTCCTCATCTGGTATTTTTAATTCAAATGCTCCTATGAGTGCAAAAAATATTTCCCATAACAGTATAAATGTTCATCTTATATTACAATGAAGTCATTTCACTTTAAGGCTTTTTAAAACTCTTTGTATGGAATACCCAGAGTAGCATACTGCTACTGAAAATACAAAGAGAAAAAAGATAGCAGAACTTCTTAGAATGTAAATTCAAGCTCCTAAACTAGTAACTCTGACTTCTGATTAGTTAATGAGGTCTTTTAAGTTTGCCTTTTTTCTAATTAAATTTATAATTCTTCACAGATGTAACTTTTGTTGATGTTCAATTTGTCTCTCTCATTTTGTTAAACCTCACATAGTACTTCGCCAATCCATTGAATAGCCACATTAAATCTGTTAATACCATGCTCTTCAACCCCAGAAATTATTTCCAGAAGGCAAACTTGCTTTGAGAGATCATCAAACAAGACTTAAGGTACACATTTTATCACATTTTCCCTACCACAGAGCTCAGGATGCAGAGCAAAATTCATGACTTTTGCACTGTTTATTATACTTTGCTAAATTACAAATCAAAAGCATCTGACAGAAGATCATGTATGAAGCCAAAAAGTTAATAATGTTCTGTGAAAAGTAAACTGTAAATGGAAAGGGATTCTAAATCTCAGCAGCACAGAGCAAATAAAATGTAGGTACTTGTCTAAATTATGGGTTTTCCACAGGTTTTTCTGCTTGCTAAAAGCAATTTTTATAAAATGACTATAATTTTAAACTTTCTTTTTTCAAACTAAAAAAATTTTCAAAATGAAAGTACTGAACTTATCTAAATAAATAGAGTTGGCAGGCAAGCTCGATTTGCCCAGCCGCAGATCAACCTGAGTGCCCCTAAATTTGAAAGACAATGGCAATTTTCTAATCAGAATGTATTTTATAGAAAAAAATGTGCCTTAGGCATAAATTTGCTTGTTAATCAGAATATATTCTTGCTAAAATTCTCCTCAATCAATATTTAATGCTCTGATAAAACCTAAACCTAAAACTGAAATAAACTTCTGCCAAGAGGTGGATGGATGCCTTTCCAAATGTTAACATTTATTTCCTTCTTTACCAAGGACCCCACAAAATGACTGCTTTACTACTATTATTGATTTTAATGTAATACACTGTACTGCTTTCTGAAGTATCTCGTTTACAGATGAAATGCAGTTCCTTTGAACACGAAAACAAGTATTTAAATGACACTGGTTCTACCTATAGCTTTAAAGAATTGTTTTCAAAATTAGCATTTATTTAAAATGTCAAATAATTTTGATATCTGATTAAATGGAAGAAGTAGTTTTAGTCCTGCTGCAAGTGTTATTCCAATAACACTTATTCCAATGTATTCTTATAAAATAAGTGATCGCATTTAAGTAGAAATTTTGTTTTGAGAAAATCATTTATCATGTCTACGAAACTCATATAGCAGTTGGCTTGCCTTTGGCTCTCTCAGACTGAACAGTGGCTCAGTTCCGCTTCTCTGTCTGACACTGCGAAGAGTTTTCAAGGCTGAAACTCCATTGCTGCTTGTTCACTTACTGAACACTTTGGGCCTTAAGAGAACTTAAGCAGCGAGAAAGTCAAATATTTGATAATGCAAAAAAACGCATGACTATGCATGTACGCATGTCCTCAAATCCAAAGGGTGGGCTAACATACTCATACAAACCTGAAATAAAAACTACTCTGAAAGACACATTAAAAAAGCAATTCCAAACCTATACAACTATATACTATGTGCTTAACTACCAACTTTTTGTACCCCTTGTCATTGTAAAAAATGAAACATAAAAATGCTTGTCTAAAGTCAATGACAACTCTGAATTTATTGAATTCTTGCAAATGGTATGCTTACATGTGTTCAAAAACTCCTCCCCAGACATACACACCCGTAAGTCATTAGCAATTCATACACTGATTCTGAACAGCAAATATTTTAAATGGAAATTCAAAAGTTTAAGAATCTTGTTTTTAAATTTCAAGGTCCATTCAAGTCACATAAAGTGTTAATAAGTGAAAAATGTGTTAATTTAGCAAATGTTTATTATTTCATCTTTTGAAGATGAGCCTGTTTAATATAATGTTTGGGAAATTTGTTTATGGAAGCAAAAGGATTCCCTTCCTTAAAAAGTGGTATCTATTCTTGTTCTTTCAAAATGTTAATTTCTTCCTCATTTTCTCATATCAATCTAAAGTGTGTAGGAAAAGTTGTCTGTGTTGCAATGGCTAGATATGCCGTCTATACTATCTCTATAGACATATACACATCGCTTTATTCAATATCACACGATTATAGTTGAGGTTTGTGCAGCAATTCATTAAAGAGATATGGAGTAATCCACCTACAACAATATAGCTGTGCATTATATTTATTGATACAGATCCCAACAAAGTAATGGTTAACAATTAATTTGTAATTATCTGTTAATGATTCTAATCGCTCAGATAATTTGGGTGTTAAGAATTGTACATTTGTGATGGAACCCTGTGGCTCATCAAGTACTAGGTACAAAGTGTCATAATCTTCCCCATGCCCTAATGTTTTCATTTTAAAAGAAACCAAAACAATACTAAAAGCGCTCCTGTTATCTTGAGCTTTGCCCACAGGACAGCTGTTGTCAGTCACTACAATTTTTCAAACAGTCAGCTTGTACTTACAGCGCTTACATCTGCTGCATCCGCCAGTTTAATGCGCTCCTTCGAATTTTCTGGTTTAGCAAACCTCCATTCCTGTCATAGTTTTGCTCCTGGACAAGGACGCGGGAGGGCTTTTAGGAGCTCTCGGAAGAGCTGGGCTCTTCTGGAAGCGGAGCGCGTCTGGAGGGCAGAGCCCGGCCGCGAGGACAGCCGCCTGGCCGCTGCTGCAGGCTCGGGCTGCGGAGCGACTGAGCGAAAACGCGGTCCCCAGAAAGAAAACCGCCACAGTGGCCGGTAACAGGAAGGCTTACAGTCGGAAGTGGCACGGGAGAGTTTCTACTTCGCCCCAAACTCGGAGCCATCAGCTCCCACCGTGCTGTTTAGAGACCGCCTTGAGCCCTGTGCTCCCAGCAAACAGCAGCAGCTGATAGCATCTGAGCGCCCCAGACAAAGAAAGAGCAGAATCTCATCCCCAGTTTGTTTGCGCAGCCTTGTAGGTCTGCCCGTGCAGCCTCGGGGCTTTTTTGTTGTTGTTTTTGCAACGCAAACCACAGCTATTCTCTTGTCCTAACCTTATTGGTTTAAATGCAACAATTGAAAGGAGTACTGTTGGTCTGACTCAACCTTGCTGCTTAAAAAAAAAATTATTATATAAATGAACGCGCCCCATGCTATCAGAATAAACAGCTGTGTGAGAACTTCTCGGAGACACTGTCAACAACACATCTCTGGCTACAGCAGCTACCAATTACGAGCTTTAGGGAGTAGTTACGCGTTATCTTTTATACTTTTCCAAAACTTTTTTTCAGGCCCTGAAACTTGGGGGAACGATGCTTTTCAAATATTGTTTTCCGAATGTAATAACTGACAGGTTTGGGGAAAATTAAAAAAAAATAGAATGGCCATTTCCACGTTAAGTACGTAAAGAGAGGAGAAAAAAAGCAAACGTGTAAGCTATTACCAGTTTAACAATGGAAGCCTGGACGATGATTCTTCAGAGGTTTCTAGAATGACAAGTTTTACCTGAACAACTTTTGTGGGTATGAACCGGATAATATTGCAGTGTTAATATTTTTAATTTGGGGGAAAAGATTTATTTTATCTAGAACTCTTTCTTTACAGTCTGGTTCTTAAAAAATTCTAACTAAACTCAATCTATGGGTGAAAATCTGTAATACCTAGAGAGTTGAGCTATTCAGATTATGACTAAATTAGACCTCCAGTTTAACATACTTAGTTACTATCATGTTTTATAGGTAAATAAATTACTTCAGTGATTAGATTAATTGCCACCATTTTATTGATCTCAAGTATTTATTGAAGGCATCACTTATGTGATGTATTTTTATTTGCCAGCCCTATGCCACAGTTCAAATACCAATGTTTATTTTTGATACTATTCACCCATCAAAACCAATTTTGTGCTCTAAAACAAAATCTTTATACCCACTGGATTTTCCTTAAAATTGGTTTGTCATTACCAATAATCCTATTCTATGTACTTGCTCTCTTTATTAGTAATAAAAAGTATTTTAAGGCTCTTGTCTTGATATAAAAAACATTTTAAAAATCACAATAACTTCTTTAATGGCTTTATAATGCATTTTCAGATCATAAACTAATTAAGCAGGTAGACAGTCTTACCTTTCCTTTGTTAATTTGTAAATGAAAGCACCATTCTGATGCAAACAAAACAAAAAGCTTCTAATGATCAAAATTCAATATGGACTTCCCCTTTGTCCCCCCTGAAAGGATGCCAATCTGAATTCTTCAGAAAAGAACATTTGTTCAACCTAAGAAACAGCTTAAACTGCAAACTCACCTAGGATTTCATGTGTATGGTAGTGGCCAGGCATCATGGGCTAGTCATCTACCATATTTGGGAGGCCAGGTCAAAACGCAGTTGATTGCTATTGGATCTGTGCATATATGCAGCAGAAATAGGGTGATGTTACAACTGCAGCACTTTCTCAGACCAGAAGTACCCGCAAGTCAATATACTAAAGTATATATGCAGAAAATAAAATACAGCATATAACGGAGGTTTCTAGTGCTGTGAGTAAAATGCAATGTTACATTAATTCAATCTATGATATCAACCAATGACTGCTTTTGCCATCATATTTATTTCTAAATTCCATAAAATATAAAATTTGAGGTTCTGGTTGAAAAATTCAACTCTGTTTGAAACTGTATAGCAAGCTATTATACCCATGCTTCCCATAATTTAAAATTGATTTTTGATATAAAAGCGTAAACTATTACCTTTCTGATCCATGAAAGACTGTATTGGGAAATCCAAAAGGCACTAATTACATGAAGTGAGGGCCGTGGGGATATCATGTAATGTATCCGACTTTTGTATATAATTACCTATATTATAATCAAATTTATTACATTAGTGTTTATATTGAAATTCAATTATTTTATTGGTATAACAGAAGATACCATTAAAGAAATGATACATGCAGTTATGAAGTAATTTTGGAAAGCATGAACGTAATGTGACCACGAATTGACATGATGTAGGTCACATGTCAAAATTATGTAACAAAGAGCTTAGTCATTGGCTGAAGAAATGTCCATGCGGATAGTACTTTTAAATGATTTCTTTTCCTAAATCAGAATTAGATAGTTAAAAACAATCACATGCTTGTCCATAAATAGACTTACTAAGTAGGTTACTACTTTGGATATTAAATATGTAATAATAACCATACAACTTACACCCCAGATATTCTCTGATAAATAGCCAAATGTAAGCCATTACTAATAAGACCCAACTTGTGGTGTACTGTTAACTTCCTATTTCTAAATGTTTACCAACTAAAATTACATACTTAACCATAAATTTTAAGGACCAAGTTGTTCCCTAAACAAAATCATATATATCACAAAAAAATTAGAAAAATTTGCCAAAATGTTGCCATTAGTAAAGACAGGTAATGGTAAAAACATTACTACTTGATAGCTCCTGCAGAAATTTCAACACATAAACATATGAATAGGAGTAAAAATATTTACTAGTATGCTTTTTCTTTACTAAAATAAAACTGTATACCTATATAATCGTATATGTATGTGTGTGTATACACATGCACACTTATATATATTTATTTGGAAAAGGAAAACACTTGAAATAGTTTTAACAAAATGCTTAAATACTCTCAAAGAGACAATATCTTTGTGTCTACAAATAGGTTTCATTTTACAGAGCAAGCTATTGCCTAGATATATGCCTGATTATATGGAAGTCTACAACTTTGATAGAAATTGTTAGTGCTTTCCAATTAACACAGAATTTTAAATAAAGACATGATTATAAAAATAAACAAATGTCTCTCATTTTTAAAAAATGCAAGAGCAGATATAAAGGATTCAGTAGAACAACCAAAAAGTTAACTTGGAAGTTTTCTAAAACAATATGAATACACAGTTGATTGATCAAATTGTATGTAACAAACACTGAGAAAACAAAGGATAAAATACAAATGTCCCTTTCGCTTTTCGATTCCAGAATTGATAAAGTTCTTCAGTGGCTATGAAGTTTCCAATAAAAGATGTTCTCAGAAGTCATTTTTCTTCTATTTTTGTTTACCTTTCAATAATTTTTGAATTAAGCATGCATACTATTACCTGGTCCAATGTAAATAATTTCTTATCTCTGTTTCCACCACTCTTACAAGATTATATCTTGAGAGCAATGGGATAGGTTGCAAAATGTAATTAGCACTTCAAGATGAGTGCTTTTTCTTCACAAGCAAAATCCTAGTTAATATTTCTTCTATGTTATTAAAATTAATGATATCTGCAAGTATTCATTTTTTTGCCATTCAAACTGCTCAAGGTGGAATGTCAAATAGAACATACCAGAAGGCTGTGCTTCTAGTCCTCTGCTTCCAGACAGCTCTCTTCTCTTGTGGTTCCTGCCACACCATCACACTTCGGGCTGTTTTGTGGAACCCTGGAGCAGGGTCCAGATAGCTGACATTACAACCCGTGCTGGCATTTTGAGCGGTCATTTCCATGACCTACTCTCTCACTGGCACGAGACCTACAATGAGGGTCTTACTCCCAGAAGCCTTTTGCTGAAATGCAACCAAGTAAAACATCCTCTATTTATTTTAAGAATGATATTAAGTCCACCAAACTGAATGTCTACCAGTATTTTGCTAAATGTTTTCCATTCAAATTCCAGCATGAGTAGCTTTTAATAGTAAATTTAAGGAGGCAATTACAAACTATTCACTATATCATAGAAAATTATTTTAATAAATATTATAGTCTTTATACCAACACAGTATAGAAATATGACCTATTTCCTGTCCCCTTAATAAGCACATTGGCTATTACATATGAATAATGACCATTTATTTATGTAGGGTAGAACACTTGTTATCATATGCAGTAATGACTGTCTATAGGATGTTTTTTACAAAAAAATATTATTCTTAATAGAAATTTGGAACACCACTTCTTGAAATAATGATAGTCTGAGCAACAGTAGATTTTTAAGAAAAGAGAATGGGATGGTAGAGATACTTTATGAAAAATATGACATATCAGGTTTTCTATTTTAAAATCAAATGAATTTCCAAAATGGCAAACAGAGTTACTTTTCTACCTTCTGCCAAAAATATGAAAATAATTAGTCTTGGAAGCATATGCTTAATCTCAGCAATATGCTATTTTGCTTTTTCACACTGTAAGACAGATTTCTGTTGACATGGAGCAACCTAGAAAACCCAGGTTGTCTCCTCATCAGCCTTTTTTTTCTCTAAGCTGTGGGCAAAACCAACCTTGTCAGCACCTCCTGGTACATGTAAGAGGATCTGGAAATTTGCTTTGTGTTCTCCAGGTTTCATGACAGCTGAGTTCACAGTTTTTAGATTCATCAGAGACAGTGAATATCTCACGGAAGAAGGAAGGGAATTAGCATTTATTGAGTGCATACTATGTATCAGGCACTGTGCTAGGCATTTTATATGCAGTCTTCTTCTGTTTTAACAAATAATGGCACAGTTGATTTCTTAATTCTGCTTTTAAAAAAATGTCTCCCCCCATGATTTGTTCTGGAGTCAGCGCATTTCTCCACCACCAGCCAAGTCACCATCCAATGACAAATGGAGTGTTGGGGCACTGGAGTGTCCAGGTTGCATCACCATTTCGGAGCAAGTGATACCCCATAAAGTTAATGAACCCCGAAAGGTGTGTGCAATATATATATATTGAAATGATATATTTAATATGGAAGAGACATAATTACTATATAGTGATGATTCACAAACACATCTGCAAGTTAGTTAGCAGATTCAAAACTAAATGTACATTAAATTATCAACAGGGAAAAATTGTGATGAATCATTAAACTTGAAATGACCAAATTAGTTGATATGTATTTTTCTCATTATTTATTCAAAATCTTCCTACAGTTGGGATTATAAAGAGCCCCAAGTTTTTTCT